CTTTAAATAGTCTTCAGCCAGGGCAAAACATTAAATCTAATGGAATTGCCAGGAGATATCAGTAACATTGTGGCCAAGCAGCTCTTCGGTTGCATGTAAACTGGCTGACTGGTGTGGCTGGCACATAGATGTTTTCCTACTTCAACGACTGGGTCGTGGTGACCAACTTGAGAAGTTGGACATCAAGAGCATTAGGAGTCACGCTCAAATGGAGATGGGGCTTTGTAATGCTGTGATTATTTGTTAAATTCATCGTTTAGGTTGTGCGGACACCTGAGAATCGGCCACTGCACTTGTGCAGGATGACAGCCTCTGATCCGTGCCAGTAGCCTCCACTTCTGCTGCATGCCAACAATTCTTCTTCTGCCAGAGTGTTGTTTTCTTTCCTCTTTAGGCTAATCTGAAGGGGCCACAGCTTCTCACTTAAAGGTGAGCTCGATCAAACATTCATTACACATTTTGAATTGTCTCACATTTTATTGCATTTCTGTGAGCACTTTCCTTGCGGAAAAACATTCTATATAGAAAACATAAACAATGCTTTGATAGCAGTGAGTTTCTTTTTTGCCCACATTTATTTACAACATTTTGACTGCCATCTATCACTTCCTAGCTCGGAGCCTAATTAGTTAGCAACTGCTTTTAATGTCAAGGCGTGTCAGCAGACAATAAGCAAATGAACTGGCAAGCACGCTAGCATTTGTGCTTAAACAGGACAGTAGATTTTACTAGGCAACTGTTATCCAGCAGCCAGCACACGTACACCGTATTCCACCTGCATGAATCTTGTTTGCTTCATACAAACCAAATGACAAATATTTAATCTTCATTGAAATGGGGAAAGTGGACCGTAGAGCTCTGCTTAGAGGTAATACAGACAGCTCTGTGATGAATAGCTTCAGATGATGCATGACTAGTGTCGCCTCAGGTGTTTATAATCTTCCTGTAGGAAAACGAAAGTAGCGTAGTAGTCAGGTGTTGCTACGGATTCTCTCACCCACAGCATTCGCCCAGCAATAGAAATGGGGCTAACTGTCCTTCAAGATAGATTCTGCTTTCCACCAACATCAATGTAGATTTCAAGACAAACTTGAAGGCGAGAAATACATAATAGCAGGGCAGAATATGTACTGTCTGAATGGACACCATTGTCCCCTGTGAGGTAAACGAACCTGGATCCTCCTGAAGCCTTGCTTTCCTACCTGCATTCACAGCACTTCTCTAATACAGGGTGCCTTCAAAGTCATTAAAGCAGAGGAGGAAGGTAGAAGCACTGCACCATTTATGACTTAAACGTAGGCGGGAAGAAGATGAGGACTTAACAACAAGTAGGTGTAATGGATGTCAAAAATACGACTTCAGATACTAGTTGCTGCAATGAGCTTCAAGCATCACGGTATGGGTGCATGAATGGGCTTTGCTGAAAAAGGAGGATTTTGTTTATTTAGAATAATGATTTAACGGAAGGCATTTGTTTGAGTCGCTCTGCAATGAAGGAAATGATGTTAAAGCGCACCTGCGTTCCGAAGAGGAAAGTGGTGTTTGAGCACATGTTGCGAAATAAATGCAAATCTCCTTCATCCAAGGTTTGCTTGTTTTATTAAAATTTTTACAAATATGGCCCAAATTTTGACTTTGTGGTGTCATAGAGCTGAGATTTTTTAGAGATGTTTTCCTTGTGCAGGCATCACATAAACGATTATTCAGGGTAATAAGCAGAGTGGGATGGAGAAACGATAGTGTCAGTTCCTTATGACAAATTGGATCCACACCTCACTGATACCGCGCCTGCTGGAAAATGATGAAACCCATTCAGATACAATCAAGGTCAATCCCATTAATCTTAATTTTGATGCTCCACTCGAACTCTTCTTTTGCAAAGCTGTAATTTGTGGTTGTGCAAAGTGTGGGCAGTGCAGATTAGGTGAGACGGTACCTTAAACCGACCTAATAGTACATCCAAAGGGATCCACTACACCTTTGCAAATGGTCCACATTCTCTCTATTGTATAGCCTTTCACAAATAAATAAGCAAAAAAGAA